AAATTTTTGAGCTGTTACTAAGTTCTGCTGATTTCTGGAGCGAGTATCAGTAAGGATTTGCTGTGGAGGGCCAGCAGTTCCTGCTGTTGCGTGCAGGGCTGGTATGTGCTGTACCCACGTGGAATGTGAGCTGCAAAGTTCAACTCTGACTTATCACAGGCAGCTGCCTGCTCAGTTTTTCCATCTTCTCGTCCTCAGCAATTTCTTTCTGTACAAAGGCACTGCTCCCCTGGCCATGCACACACCCTATAGATGACTCAAGCTATTTAACCTATGGGCTGGGACGGGACATGAGAGGGAGAGAGAGAGAGAGAGACTTGTTCGCATTTCTATTTTTAAATGCCATGGAAACACTGAAATCACGATAATGAATAAAAATTAAACTGGTCTGTGAGGCGCACTATCTGTACATACAAATACCTTTTTTTTTTTTACTACTTGCCTTTTTTATCAGAGCAAGCAGGTTTTGCCGAGGTGAAAGGTTACTGGTAAGGAGCAGTGTGTTGCAGTCACCATGAGAAATAACGAGCGTGCGTGGTGAGCACACATCCTGCTGTTCAGACTTGCCGTTGCTACGATAACAGAAACAAAACACCAGTTTCGGGTGTTCGCAGCTTCCGAGGATGTGGTTTATTTGCTGCTTGTGATAGTCTGATGACTGAAGATGGCTTTCTTCCAATAATTTTTGAATTTTTTCTGTCTCTTAGAAACCCTTTTGTTGTGAGTACTTTTGAGGACATAAGTGATGACAATGAAGTTTATTTTCCCAAAGCACAGAAAACATCCTGCATAACCTGAAATATCTTCTTTGTTTATTTCTTTACCTGCACCTATTCCCAGGGTCTGTGAGTAAAAGTTCTGACTAATAAGATAGAAGGGAAGACACGGTTTGAGCAGGAAGGGAGGAGAAATGAGCTTGAAAATAAGATGATTTTGAAACAATCACAGTCATTCTTAAATAAATTAGTTGTCTTGAGACAGCACCTAGAATTCAACACCCATGGTACCACCAGCTGCTGAGCACAGACACAAGGGAAGGACAGCCTCTGTTACACTGTCTATCCTTTGCTATCTGTTTTCCCGATGGAAACAAAAATGCCAGGAGTGTTGGGAGGGATTCCTTTGCTCCACACGTCACCTTTGTGCTTGCATTTATCCCTGCTGCCACAACCTGTACTTATTCCCGTGGGTGTGGTACAGAAGGCTGTATTTTGGGGGTCCTGTGCCAACCACCCCACACCGCTTGGCATTCCACTCCCATGAGCTCTCTCACTCCAAACCTCTGCCAAGAGGAGCAGTCCCTTGCAATTACTGAGGCAGTGCTGTGGAAGCCTCAGGACACCACGCTGCGGTGACACCTGGGCTGCAGTGCTGGGACAGCCTTGCTCTCCAGGGAGAGGTGAGAATTAAGGATGTGCTGGCGAGGAAACAGAACAATGAAGACATTTTTTGCACAGCTGACATTTGGGGAAGTAGTACTTGCAGCTGCCACGGCAAATCAAAAGGATGAATCTGAGAATTTCCTGCGAGAGAGTGAAAAAACCCTCAACCAACAAACAAGCTAACTTTTGTCACCTGTGTTTTTGGGGAAATTTGCTGAAGCTGTTTGCCAAGGGCCACCATGGCATAATTGATAAATTACAACGTTGTATGGTCCTGACATTATAGGGACTCTGGGACTTGTGAGAAACTGGGCAAGAAACAGTACCACTTTAAAACACAGGAGGCTGGCCTGACTCTTAAATACACTGCAGTAGGGCTGCTCTGATGAGCCTAAAAACCCTGCAGTAAAGGCACCCAGCTTTCATTTGTTCCTTTCACTTGTTCCAAGCAGCTGGCATCGCCTCCTATGATAAATGCCCTATATGATGTACACTGGGGTCTTGTCACTCTGGGTGGATGCAGGTGAATAAATTCTGGGCTCTTCCACTCCCGGTGTTTGCTGCCCAGGCAGGAACACTGCTGTTGTCAGTGGGGAAGCAATTCATTCTTCCACACCTAGGCAATGAAATTCCCTGAGCTCAGTCTCCCAGCTTTCAGCTGTGAAACCTCTGTGAAAGCGTTCACTGCACCAGAGACAGGGGAGAACTGCATCATAAAAGCATCTCTGGTGGCAGCACAAACTCGGGGGTACTTGCAAATTGTGTTCAAAGTATTTCAGTGTAACATTTCAATGAAAGACACATCCTAGAAAATGCAAACTTAAAAGTACAGTTGGAGTCAAATGTAAAGGCTTTAAATAATTTTCCTATATAAAAATTACTGCACTGACATACAAGGATGTACCATGGAAGGCATGCTGCTCTTCACCCTGATCTGCAGCAGCTGCAAACCCCATTGCTTTGCTAGAAAACTTCTTTAGGGGATGCAAAACAGAGTGGAAAGAGAAGTGTATCTGCTCTAATAGTTAAAAACTAGAGCTTCCTTATTTCTTATTCCAGGATTGCTGTTTAAGCTCTTCTAGTCGAAGCAGAACAGCAGCAAGATCATTTGGATGAATGATGACAGTGTGTGTTTTGCCTATCTCCCCTTTTACACTTCCCAAAAATGCACAGTGCTGTTGTTGGCAATAGGGATCAGCAACATGTCCTCCAACACTAAGACTTCCTGTGGAGACACAAACATGTTTACTAATCTGGCCCCCGTGTCATATTTGGGGCTTGCCAACTTCACTACTGTGATAAGCAAAAGAACAGCACACACACACCATCAAAGCCTCAAGGAAAAAAAAATAGCTTCCATTATGGGCACCTTCTTTCCACTCCTACTTAAGGGGAACAAAGACAAAAGGAGGTAACAAAATGATGATTTATCACCTCTAGCACTACCCACTACTGAGGAACAGCTCTGAAGACACTGTGCTGAAATCAAGTGGAAAGAAATGATACCATGGAAACGGAACAAAAATAATAATTTGCTGCTACATCTCTGTCCTAGACCAGGAAGCCCTTAACCTGCAAATCGCCAGATGCTCAGCATATACTGGTGAAATCTCACCACATTTTTGCCTTATTACTCTTTTCCTCACACATCTGTTTCCAGTCATGTTCAGAAACAAAATTCTGCATTGGCTGAGTACCTGGCAGTACCAAATACACCTTTTATGGTGTTTTCAGTTTCTCCTTGAAGTGTGCTGATGGTATATACATGTTTAAATGTTTGGCCAGTCTGAGGATAAAGAAGCAAATATGAGGTAAGTAGCAGAGCCTCAGCAGTCTCAAAAGGATGGCTGAATGCTGGAGAAGCTCAAAGGTGGCCCTGAAACAGAGACCGACACGCTGGGGAGAAGAGAGCAGAGAAGGGCCCCTCCAGGACAAGACTGGGTGCAGAAACCCAGAATCACAAAATCACAGAGTTGTTAGGGTTGGAAGAGATCTCAGGAGAGCATCAGTCCCACCCCTGCCAGGGCAGGGTCACCTGGAGCAGTGACACAGGAGCGTGTCCAGGTGGGGTCTGGATGTCTCCAGGGAGGGAGACTGCACAGCCTCCCTGGGCAGCTGTGCCAGGGCTCTGCCACCCTCAGTGTAAAGAAATTCCTCCTCATGCTGAGGTGGAACTTCTTGTGTTTCAGTTTACAGACACTGCTCCTCGTCCACTGGGCACCACCAAGAAGAGCCTGGCACCATCCCCTTGGCACCTTGAGATATTTACATGCATTGGTGAGATCCCCTCTCAGTGATGCCCAGAGTGTGGAATTTGAGTTTCTGCACTGAGAGGGCATTGCACAGCCCGGGATCTACCCATGTTCTCCTTCATTGGGATAGAATGGTGTGAAAAATGCATATTTTATGATTGGCTTTTCACAAATCTTAAAATGAATATTATATGTGTTATGTTAGAAATTTATGCTGTATTAATTTTCCTAAGTAGTGTGTTAAATATAGTTTTTGGTTACAACATAATGTTAAAATAGAAACTGTGTATGTGGGATATTTTTTTAAAGAAAGGAATGGGGTACTTGCACCAGATAGCAGCCACGGGACACCTAAATCTTTCAGAGAACTTCTTGCTCCATTATCAGAAGAAAGGAACTTCTTCCCGCCTTGCTCAGCCATGAAGACTCTGTCAGGATTCAGAGGGAGAAGTTGACACTGACCAGACAGAATCCTTTGTTTGAATGGAATTTATGCATCATGTATGAGGTGTATGAATATGCAACAGGCTATTGCTTTTAAGGGTTAATCCTCTGTTAACATGAGTCCTTTTTCAGGCTTATTTTGCCCAGAATAAGGTGCCCGGACTGTCCATAACTCTTTGTTCCTATTGTCTCATATTGTCCTAATCCAGACTGTCCAAATTTTTTTACTCTAATTGCACTGCTACTTTTATACCCATTTTATTACTATTTAGCTTTTAACATTTTAAAACCGAGTGAGTGGCGTTTCGCACCGCGGGCACGCTCGGTGCCGCCTGCAGCCGCCCCTGAGGGCAGCGGCGGTGACGGAGCCGCCTTTGTGTCACGGGCCCGCACGCACCGCCGCTGCCTCGGGCTCCGTGCGTGCCGCGGCTCCCGCGGCTCCCCCTGGCGACAGCGCTGCCCGCCCGGGGAGCCGCGGGACCGGCGGGGACACGGCGCCAGGCAGGGATGGCGCCGGAGCACCGCTGGCCGCCCTCCCCATCGCGACTGTCGCGACATGAACGCCCAGCCCCGTTCGCGGGCGAAGCTTTTTGGGCGGGGCGGCCCCCCGTAGCCGTTGCCGTGGCAACGGGCGGCGACGGCGGGGGCCTCGCCGGTGTCACGTGACACGGCCCCCTCCCGCCGCCATCTTGGAAGTTGCGTCAAGATGGTGGCGCCGGCGGCCTGAAGCTCCGCCCCCGCCGCCTCGCGCACGGCGCGGTAACGTCACCGCGTTCCCGCCGCCCTGAACCCGGAAGTGCGTCTTGCCATTCGCGGGCGTGCGGGGCCGGCGGGAGCGCCCGAGCCCGGCCGAGCCGAGCCGAGCCGAGTGCAGCCGAACGGAGCCCGGCCGAGCCGAGCCGAGTGCAGCCGAACGGAGCCCGGCCGAGCCGAGCCGAGTCCAGCCGAGCGCAGCCGAGTCTGGCCGAACGGAGCCCGGCCGAGCCGGCGGGGCGGAGATGGCGGCGGCGGAGCTGCAGGGGAAGTACCAGAAGCTGGCCCAGGAGTACTCCAAGGTACCGGGCAGCGGGCCCGGCGCCGCTCGGGGCTGCAGCGCCGCTTTCCGCGCGGTGCCGGGGGTGCCTCCCGGGCTGAGGCGGGGCGGCCTCGGGGGCTGCGGGCTGGCAGCAGAGAGCGCGGGCAGACGGCGCGGGCCCGTCTGCGGGACGTGCGGGAGCGCCCACGCCGGGCTCGGTGTGCCGGGAGGGAGCTGGCGGTGTTTGCCGTGCTCTCCCCCCGCCGGGCGGGCGCGGGCCTCGGTTGATCCCTTGGCGGTGAGGGTTTGCCCCGGTGTGGGTCGGTCGTGCCCTCACCCGCGGAGCTCGGCGCTGGCAGCGTTTTGGGAGCGAGCAGGACGCTCGCTTCCACGTTTGCCTCCCGTCCGCCCCCCTTCTTCTGCCCCCGGTGACTTTGCATCCTGTTTGTGGTGCTGCTTGGCACAGGGTCTGCGAAGATGTGCAGCCCATGCCTTTCCAAGGTGCCTGAGTTCTGAAGTAGCGGAGCCTTGCTCAGTACAGAGCCATTCATTCTTTCTTCTTCACTAAAGGAAGAGGAGACTCTTGGTCCTGAGTGGCAGAGTCCGCCAGCAGCCTTGGGGAAGAAAGGCAGTGCCTTGGTTTCGTGCAGCCCCACGCCAGCACCTGGCACAAGGCACTTGTCTGCATTTGACTCTTCTCCCATGTCTCTAAATACTATTACATGGCTCACTGAACCATGTCTCTAAATACTCTTCTCCTTGGAACTCTTACAAAAACACCATGTGTAGCATCTAAATAGTTTACAGATTGATAGCCATTTAATGCTGCCACGAAATCGTTTGAAGAAAATTTCACTTACTTTGCAGCTTTGTAGGTCACAGAATTCACATGTCTTGTTTTGTACAGAAGCTCTTTTATTCCTTGGAGATCAGTAGTGGCTGATGATGAAATAATGAAGGGATTTTGGTTCTTGATTCCTGAATGATCATTGGAAATGTGGCCTTCTGACTGTAGCTTCCAAAAGTTCCCTCTGCTGGATTCTTTCTTTTAGCATCATGGTACCCAGAAGCTTTCTTCGGGCTTCATCATGCACTTCTCAGCCTGTGCCTTTTCTCCTTTGCTGGAACTATTTTTTTTCCATCCCATTTCTCGTGCAGTGCAGCTCGTTGTGGGACTCCTCTTTGCAGAGCCCTCCTCTCTTTGTTGTTGGCTGCTTGTTGTGTGCAGGTGGGAATGGAGAGTAGCCCTGCTCACTTCAGGGAGCTCTGAAAGCCACGCAGAGAGGTGGACAAGAGCCTGACAGCCTCAAGCAGTGCTGGGGGAAGTCCCTGCCAAAGGATTGCTTTTCCTCTTGGTTCACACACCAGTCCAGAAGAAGAGACTCTGAAAACACACAGGTTGGAGCTGCTGGCTCTCTCCTGAAGGAACATTCAAAGCAGCTTTGTGGCAGCCTGTGTGGGTCCCCCTGCAGCTGGGTCTGGGGTGCAGCAGGACTGAGCTGCTTCAATCTCTGCACCTGACGTGTTCCTGCAGTAGTAGCTGTGGCACAAAAACAGCTGTGGAAAACTTCTGCACTGCTCCTTCTTGCTAGGGAAATCCTGTGCTTGGAAGTGTTTCTGTGGTGCGCTGGGAGGTTTCTTGTCTTGCCTTTGTGATGCCTGAGCAGCACAGTGGGAGTTCTGCAGGGAAAACAGCTGTGCTTAGCAGTGACTTCTGACCTTTGAAATACTCAGTCATCACACTGAAACAATGAGCCACTGCTGTTTTACCCTGAATCTTGCCTTTTATGCACCTGTACAAACCCTTTTAATTTATATCTGCAACAGCTGGACTCACACATGTCAAATGAATACAAACTGCCTTTGAAGAAACCAGGATTCAAGCAATTTGCAAGGAATGGGAAGATGGAACTGTCAGTGTCCTCTTTGCTGCAGGGTAGAGGTACTCTGTGGAGTGACTGGGAAATAGATTTCTTGAGTATCACTTTTCACTGCAGTGATTTTAGCTCAGATTTTGGGTACTGTATAAGGAAGGCTTAGAGGACTTTTCCTTGTATGCTTTTTATGTCTTTTTTTGTGTCAGTCTGTTCTCTCTGGATCATCTGCTGCCACTGGTAATAAGTAACTTTGCATTGAGTTAAACTCCTCTTCAATTGATAGGGATTTTGATTTTACGAGTCCTGCTAATGTTCCAGAACTGGTTAAAAACAGTTTTGGGAAGAAGAGGGGAGAGACAGAAATAGCCCTGAATATGACCAAGAACTTTGTTAGTCAGGGAAGAGGTTGCAACTCTTCCATATCTGTTCCTAGTTCTTCAAGTCTTAACTATGCTTAAGTAACTGGTATTCAAGGGTATTTATTGAGTAAGAATTCTGTTCTGTTTGACCAAAATGTTCAGGTGGTAAAGTTACTTCTTGTTCTTTGGCAAGTCAGGATATGAATTGGATGCCTTTTCAACCTGATATGTCTGCTATCCACCTGAAAAGAATGCTTGAAAAAGCATTCACACCTGGCACTCTCCTGAGAGAATGTGATGGTTTTTCTGCACTTTCTCATGCATGGCTTTTATTCATTCTGTTGTCTTGCATAGTTACTGGCATCTCGTGTTTTTCAGCTTCGTGCTCAGAACCAAGTCCTGAAAAAAGGAGTTGTAGATGAGCAAGCAAACTCTGCCTTCAAGGGTATTTATTAAGAATTCTGTTCTGTTTGACCAAAATGTTCAGGTGGTAAAGTTACTTCTTGTTCTTTGGCAAGTCAGGATATGAATTGGATGCCTTTTCAACCTGATATGTCTGCTATCCACCTGAAAAGAATGCTTGAAAAAGCATTCACACCTGGCACTCTCCTGAGAGAATGTGATGGTTTTTCTGCACTTTCTCATGCATGGCTTTTATTCATTCTGTTGTCTTGCATAGTTACTGGCATCTCGTGTTTTTCAGCTTCGTGCTCAGAACCAAGTCCTGAAAAAAGGAGTTGTAGATGAGCAAGCAAACTCTGCCTCACTGAAGGTAATCTCCAGAAACTGCTCATGTCAGGTGGACTAAGCTGTGACAAAATAATAATAATATAGGGGTACATTTTACTGAAAAGTAATGTCAATAAAATAATGAAGAGGGAACTTGATTTTAGTAAAAGAATTTCTGTTTTGCAGCTAGCCTGTTCTCTGTAAGTGCTGGGTTTGTAAAAGGGGAAGGTTGATTCTTGATGATTATAGAATTAAGTAGCTACTTGGGTATGATCTGTGACTAGCTCAAGGAAGTGAAATACATTTTTTCAGTTTAGAAATGATACTTTGTCTCTTCAGTGTTTCAAAAGTGAAGCAATTTTCTAATTTGTTCCTGTTTTTAGTGTATAAAAATAAATGTGAAGATTTTTAATTTTTTTTTTTTTTATCATTCAGGAACAGCTGAAGATGAAGGATCAGTCACTGAGGAAACTGCAACAAGAAATGGACAGCTTGACCTTTCGAAATCAGCAGCTTGCCAAGCGGGTGGAGCTACTTCAAGATGAACTTGCATTAAGTGAAGCTCGGGGCAAAAAGAACAAGGTATGTGCTGAAGGCAAAAAAAAACTTGCTTAGCAGATGTCTGCTCCTCACCTGTCAAAGCCTTGTCCTGATCTTTAGCAGCAGGTATTTTGTGTCAAGGGTTGAGCTGAATGTTCTTGTCAGAACTTGTATTATTCTATCTCATACTGGTGAAAATACCCATAAAACAGGTATTGATATATATACATATAAAATACATGCAGTGTAGTTCTCTACTCTTCTAGTCTGTCAGCTGACTGATGCTGAATTGCTGTCTTCTTTTATGGATATTTATTAAGTGTTCAAAAAAGTGGGAAATACTTTGGAGCTCTGTGATTAGTCAGCTGCTATGCAGAAAGCTGATCACTGCTCATTTCCCATCCCCACCTCTTTGCTTTGTAATTTTGATGTTGGTGGTTAACTCTTCAGCCTGTGATCATAGCTTTTCTATGTGAGTCTTGTCAAATGCTTTGAAATCTAAATTTTTAGCTTGTATTCTTTGTGTTATTTCAAAATGACAGAATGATTTCAACACTGTGATCTTTTTGTGCCAGAATGCTTGCTGATTAAACCTAGTGATGTCATATTCTAAGACCAGCTCTGCCTTCTGTAGGTAGCATCACAATTCCAGGGGTGTGCTTGAACTTCAGGAATTGTCAAGCATCTCTTGCTAGTTTCCTCATGAAGAAACTCCTCTTAATTACTGCTGTCTTTTCTCAAATACTGTAGTCATCAAGACTGGCTTTAAAGAAATCATTCAATTGATAAGTAACATGATCATCTTCCTTACTTGCCCATTTTCCTGCTGTCCAATTCCTTGACAGGCACAGTGCTTCTGACTACATTATTCATGCACCACAATGGATTGTTCTTTCAAATGCAGTTTGACCCTTCTTTTATTTCAAATTGTGTAAGTTACTGTTTTGCTATCCACTTTTCCAAATTTTGAAGGACATCAGCCTGTCTTTAGTAGCTTTGCAAACAATTGCCACTGAGTTTCTTTCCTGTTCACCTATCAAAATGCACAGCTTTAGTTCCCTGATCTGTGTTAGAGTGCAGTCCTTTTAGAAGGAGCAGAACACGTGCCCATGTCTCAGGTGGAGTTCACAGGCTGGCATCAAATGCAGAGGTGACTTACCTGCCCTACATATCCCTAGTTCTTGAAGTTTGCTGTTGAGTTTAGATGCATGGAGTCTCCCCTCTGTTTGGTGATGATACCTTTCTTCAGCAGTGTGGTGTGTGGGATTCAGTGGTGGTCTGAGTCTTTTGGATTAAATGAGTGGAAAATGAGGGAACAGGCAGAGGGATGTGTGTGGTTGATGGGCAGGGAAGACCCTGTGGTTCCATGGCACCTGTGCTGCACCTGGAGCCTTGCTGGGCAGAGATGAGCCTTACACACAGCTAGCAAACCACTGAGCCTGGGTATGGAGGGTTTTGCATGGCTGACTGCATGGGATCATGCAGGATTCCAGTGAATTCAGATGGGCTGCTGCCCATCCGAGTGATTGATTCCCTGTGAGTGTGAATGGGACCCCTGAGTGGAGACTTTCCCAGGGCAGTGTTGTACCACTGTAGGGTCACAGGGGTGTGGAGGAAAGGAAAGTGTGCTGCCTGAAGGCTGCTGCTGAGTGCAATATTCACACTTTTGATGTATCAGTGTCAGCAGGACATCTGCTGGTGTGCCCCTTCTGGGAGTTACCCGTGGGAGCTGTTCTCACAAACCTGGGACTTGGAGGTAATGAATGCGTTTTGTCTCTTTCAGAAAAGTGTAGACTCCTCATCTCAGCTGAGTCAAGAACAGAAAAGTGTCTTCAATGAAGATCTTCAGAAGAAAATAGAAGAAAATGAACGACTGCATATACTTGTGAGTGAAATTTTGTCTTGCCTCTATTTTTGGTGCAGAGAACTGGAGTTACAACCAAAGACATGGAAAGTAAAGTGCTGTCTGAAAACTGATGGGTTTAGAAGCTTAGTTGTATGCAAAGCAATAGATTAGATCAGATTGTTTATGAAGATGTTCACCAGGAAAATCAAGTATTTTGACTTTGGATTCTTAAGACAGTGTGTGGAATCACATAATGTGTGTTTTCTCGTTTAGATTTTTAACTTTTGGTGACAGCTGCCCTATTGAAAATGGCTTGATACTGGATGGAAATTTCTTATTAGCTCACTTACTGTCTCAGAATTGCTTTAAAGTTTAAAATATTTTCTGCAAGTTGCCTTAATTAGGAGCTACTTCACCAAAGTAGACTGCATTTCACTTTAGAAAACTTGAAAAAAACCTTTTTGCTCAAGTTCAGTTCTTTGTGTATCTGCTATTAATCAGTAGTATATTTAAAGAACACTTTTTACTACAAAGCTTAGTTTTCATTTAAGTACTTTGTTCCTGAATCTTTTCTCTGTAAATAAAATAAAATTTATATTTTTGTGAGAACTGGTAATTGCTGTTAACCTGATCTGCCTAATGAAATTGGAGTAACTTAAAGGACTGGCTTCAATAGTAAAAAGAAGCTTTTTGAAAGAGCTTTTCTTTTCTTCCTGTAGTTCTTTGAAGCAGATGAGCAGCACAAACGTTTAGAAGCAGAGCTGAGGAGCAGACTGGAGGTTTTGGAAACAGATGCTGCCCAGCACCAAGCTGTGGTGGACAGCTTAACAAAGTGTGAGAACTGATAATTGCTGTTAAGCTGATCTGCCTAATAAAATTGGAGTAACTTAAAGGAATGGGTTCAATAGCAAAATGAAGCTTTTTAAAAGAGCTTTCCTTTCCTTTTCTTCCTGTAGTTCTTTGAAGCAGATGAGCAGCACAAACGTTTAGAAGCAGAGCTGAGGAGCAGACTGGAGGTTTTGGAAACAGATGCTGCCCAGCACCAAGCTGTGGTGGACAGCTTAACAAAGAAGTACACAGAGACCATAGAAAAGCTGCAGAACGATAAAGCCAAACTAGAAGTAAGGAGTTTTTCCTCTTGCTTGCAAGTTTGAAAAGTTTTGAAATGCAATGTCTTGCTGTGACAGCACTTACATTGTGAGATTATCTTCTTGCATAAAGATCAAGTCTCAGACACTAGAAAGAGAAGCTAAGGACTGTAGGCTTCGAACTGAAGAATGGTAAGTGTCTTTATTTCATTGATATAAAGAAATAATTGCTGTGAAACATTAACTGGATTATTTTTTAAGAATAATACCATTTTAAAAAGGGGTTTAAGTGAAAGACTTTGATAAAATTCAAATTGTATTATCATGAGGACAAATGTGAGCAGTGCAGGTCAAGCCCCCTTTTCCTTTTCTGTGTATGGAACTAGACAGTTCCACAATTTCTGCTTTCAGTAAGAGCAGTTTTGTCTCCAAGCTTTTTCAATAGCAGTAACATTAATGAAAGTTTGAAGAATTTATTTGTAATTGAAAACTATAGAAAGTAAAAACTTGTATGAAACAGATATGAGTTTTTAAAAACTGCTTCCAAGAACAAAGTTTGAGTAACATATGCTGAGAGAACTGACTGAAAAGAATTTCAAAAATCCCCTTTCACTGCAAAAGCTTCTTGAACAATTGTTTTTGCTTCAGGTATAGTCTTCTCAGCTAGAATATTTGAAAGTTTTTGTCAGAGAATTATAATGTTAGTTTTGGAGTATCTTCATTGTCTTGAAGACAAGTTGTGGAAGTTGAGAGCTGTGGTCCAAATCAAATTAGGGTGCATTTCTCTGAAGTTCATTAAGCTGCATTTTTTTAGAAGATGCATGTGCAATATAGATCATTAATGTAATGAATGCAGATCAGATGCAGAGTTCCTTCTTTCACATGGTAAACCCTCAAGTGTGTATTTTAATTATGTTGATAGATGTGAAGATACTTAAATCCAATAACTCCACTAATACAAGTCAGGGTTTCACTAAAAATGACTTGAAAAAGAGAAGGAAAGCTGTGTTTGGCTGCTGTTTGCTTTTTTTGAGGTGTTTGGAAAGCTGTAGTTTTAATCTGCTACTAGTCAGTTCAGGCTTTGTATCATGTTCTGGGTAATTGATGTCATTGTGAGAACTTATCCCTACTATTTTAAGTTATACTGTATTAAGTTTTTAAAAGTAGTAAAGCCTGACACTTAATTTTAAACACTGAAATCACTGTTGAACACATGGCAGGATATGTCCCTGAGAATACTGCCCTTCTGTTTCCCCTGCTCATCAGGGGAAGGGATCCATTTGCCTCTGACACCCACACTTTACTCAGAAAAGCCAGAGGATATGGGACTTGGCAGCCTGCATGCTTTGAAAATTAAAGGGTAGAATGTAAGGCAAAACATGTCAAACTACTTGTTGGTCATTCCTGTAAGTCTGAAAGGGAACTATCAGTACATTTGCAGTTTGCCTTGGAGTTCATTTTTTATCATGCTCATTGCTACTGCAGTACCTGCTGTGCAGTTTCTATGCAGTCATGGAGCTGCTCTCCAAGAAAAATATTTGTTAATGTGCATGAGCTACCTATTGGACAGTTTCTTCATATCTTCGTTTGGATTGTCTGTTTTGGATTATTTTGCTTTGTTAATTAGCCATGCTAACTTTTGCTAAGTTTCTGTGTATCAAATATTGTAAGAAAGGAAAAAAAGCCTGTCACTTTGACACCTTCCCCCCACCCTCCACTATATGTGCAGGAGTTCTAGATGTCAAACGGGAAGCAAAACAGTGAAGAATTTGGGGGCCTAAGTTGGGTAAGGTGTGGAATTTGGTCTGAATCAATAATGGAGTGTTCTTTGTAGATATATGTATATAATGCTACAATATGTTACTGTTCATCTCAGCATTTTATTCTCATTATATTAGTAATCTTAATTACTTAGGTTCACATGTACATGACAGTCAAATGCAAGTGAAGACAATTTAGAGAAAAATCACTTGAGAATGCATCAGAAACATAATTGTCAAATCTTGTCAGAACAGACAGTATCATTGCAGTGTTTAACTATGGGTTTTGAAAAGCCTTTGAGGTATCTCAAGTAGTGATGTGGCATAGTTAATTGAATTATTGACTGCTTATTGGAATACTGCATTGGATGCATAGTAACTAGTTTGGAGGCCCTTTTACCTTCCCATCCAAATTCTAGTAGAAGAAAATACCTTCATATAGCTTACATAATAGTTGCACTATAGGAAAAAAAGGTGCATTTTATCTCTGAAGTAAATGGAGCTTCTCAGGAATGGAATTTAGGATTTACAAGTTTATGGTAACTTTCACAGCTTTTTTTAGGGATTAGGATTCAATGTTGTGTTAAATATGAGATAAAGGAGGGCAAATGACTCCCCCTATATTAATTCTAGCTAACTTCTAGAAGGAGACAGATACCTATACACTGAAGGGATGCCTATAGTGAGATATGGTGTTGGTGATACAGATGAAATTTTAAAGGTTTACAATGTGTGTGTGTGTGTGTGGTTTTTCGTTTGTCTCTTTGTTATTTAGCCAGCAACAGCTAAAGAATCTTCAAGCAGCTTTGGGCAGTAGACTGGAAGAATCTCTATGCATAATTAATGAAAAAGTACCTTTTAATGACACAAGTACGTATTGCCTTGGTCTGGGTATCTTGTTTGATTTTTTTTTTTGGGTATCCATCTGGAGGGAATACTCCTTATGAATTAAAATGTATTAGCTGTAAGAAATGTTGGACATCTGAACAGACACTTGGAGGTAACTGTAGTAAGTATTCCTGATACTTGTCATGGTCTTCAGTAATTCTAAAATACCAAGTTTTTATATGTATAATGAAGATTGAAACTTTTGAAGGCTTTTGAGTGATTTGCCACTTGTCTTATTGAGTGTTGACAGAATATTGTAAATGATGAAGGAATACTGTCAATTTAATGGCTGCTTCATGAAGATTGGTTACTCATCTCAAAGAGTATTATTTTTGGCAGGGTATATTCAAGAGGTGCAGTGAGTTAAGGTGGGGGAAAACTGGTGGCCGCAGAGATATTGCATCAGTAATGGTCTGCACTTATTACTCATGGGGAACTTGTCAGGATGTCTCGCTGATCAGGAAACAAACAGAGCAGTTCTTACCTGAAGGCTGTCTTAGGCTTGTTCATTCCTTCATGGGGAAAAAAAGCCCTTTGGACCTGGGGACTTTTACCTGAAGCAATGTTTTTCTGCTTCCTTTCCAACTGCTGCTAGATCAGCTGAAGTGCAGAGGATCCCCTGGAGTTAGGAGTGCTCAGTCTTTGCATGGCTTTGGTACAAGCATGGGTTAGTATGAGCTGGGTCAGTGCTGTGCACCGTGTGCTTTCCTAAACAGCTGAACACAAGGGTGGGCAGGCACTGCCTGGACTCCTCTGGACCCTTCAAAACCAGGATGACCTGGAATAATGGAAAAGCTGAAAGTAGTGAAGAAGGAGCAGAGAAGTGAAACCAGGCTTTTGAATTTCTTGTATATTTAATTGGTGGCTTTTTGCATTTTTCATTCAGTTTAAAACCTGCTGACAATGTTTTAAGTAGCCTTAGGTTCTGTAAAAGCTGATCTGGCAGGTGCTGCAGGGGTGAGTGTTCCAAGCTCTCCACTGGTTTGGCAATCCAGTGAGTGTTGGCTTAGGAACACCAGATCATCATCTCTTTAGGAAATGTTGACTCCCATACAGCACATCATACTGAGGTGTTGGTGCCTGGAGTTGGTGTCCTTTTCACTTCTCTCACTTTGCCTGGCATCTGCTGCCTATTTCTACTTCTCTGGCTTCTTTAGCTTGCATTTTTTAGGTGTTTATCATTGTAGCAAGAACTTTGCTAAAATAATTTATCTGCTCACTCAGCTGCCATAGCATAATGCCTTTGCTTGTGTGGTAGAAAACACTGCAAATAGAGAACATCTCTCTAGTGGTAGATCAGTGGAAGTCAGGAGATGATTGTTTGTTGTGGATTCCAGCTGTCATCCTATAGACCCTTCCTGCAGTAGTTGGCTTCCAGTGTAACTAGCAGCTAATTTCAGTAACAATCAAATGACTGCTAAGCATGATTTACAGAGCAGAAAAAGTTTCCTGAAGCATTTAGTTAGTTAGAAGTAGGATTCAATAATTTTGGACAGGGCTATTTTCCTCTAAATGTAGCTACCTCTTCCCATGTCTTAATAGCCAAATGTGAATGACACAAAAGGAATAAGAAACTGTAAATTTCCTTTGTGAGCAAATTTTAAACTAATCTGGTTGTTGTTCAACTGAATTGAGAATGGATGTGACCCCTTTTAAATCTCTCAGACTTTGTAAGCTGTTTTGTAGGTACAAATAGCCCTCTGCCCCTCTAATTGTGGCTGCTTGTAACTGAATAATCATTCTAGTTACTTCATTACTAGAGAAGAGTGCTGAAATACATGAAGAGTACATCTTAGTCTAAATTGTCAACATATTAAGTGTATACAAGAGCTTTAAAAAACATGGAAACCGTTCAAAAATATGTTAGTCTTACTTGGCCCCTCCTTGGCATGTAATTGAAATTTAAAGATAACACTCTTAAAGAATTCAAGATTATCTTTTAAAAGATTTTTTCACTCTTTTGTGATGAATATTGTTCCTTGGGCAAGAGGAGTCTGCTCTTATTTTTCAAATTCAGGGTCTTCAGATGATTGAATTTGACTTACAATCTGAGTCAAGTATTAAACTGCTTTCCCTTCCACTTAATCACAGAAACCCTTAAGTGAGGATATTTAGGCCTGCTTTATTGGAGTCAATTGCTTGTGTCTCTTTAGTTAATATTGCTTACATAACCTGTAATATCCCTGCAATTAATTTTCTTTTTTAAATCAGTATTTACCAAAAAATGTCTCTCCCCCACAATTTAACAAGTGCATATAACTCAATTTTTGTCCTGTAGGATCTGCTCGATACAATGCTCTGAATGTACCATTGCACAACAGAAGGAATCAGGTGAGTGCTTCTTGTGGTTTCATGTGACTCTGTACAATTTTCTACACAGATGCTGAAATAAAACCAGTCATTTCAGTACCTCAAATGGCAGAAGATAGCCTGTCTTACTACTGTCATGATATTCTGAGAGCATTTCTGCCCAAGAGCCTCTGCACTTTTCAAGAGTTGTGTATATCTTTATGTCAAGGAGTCTCATTGAAGTGATATGAAATATTCTTTTATCGGGTCAACCTTCAGTAAGCTAGAAGTTGAAACATTTCATTTTTAAAGTTGGTTAAAACTACAGTCGTTTCTTTTGTTGGAAAAAACGTAGGTTTGGTGTCCCAAATTCCTTTTCCCTCAAACTGAGCTTCTTCAGTCACATCACTTGAGCTTTAGAGAATGTATGCATTTGTATACTGCACATTGGTGTGTGCACTAAAATGCTGTATTAGGTAACATTACTTGTCATGAGTCACAACCCTTTCAAGGAATAAATCATGTCACTTTGAGATCTCTGCATGGTTCGTTTACATTTTGTGGGATACTTCTTGCCAAAGCACCTCTTACTTGCAGAAGAATAATTCTTATATATTGAAACATTTTTAGAAAACAGTTTCTGTTCACTACCGTAATTTAATGAGATTCCTGGTGAATGTTTTTTATTCAGTATTCAAAAATGAGCATTGGTTTTCTGTGAATGGCTGAATATTTTAAGGGTTTTTACAATAGCAAATCAGAAACCTGTATGCAGTCAAAATTTTCTTGTGTTGCTACCATTGAGGATGGACTCTACAGCACTGTGGGGTTTTTCTGTTTCCTTGTGTGTCTCAAGTCTTCAAGTAGCATTGAGATGCTACTGCAGGAAGATTTAAAATAGTTGCTTTCTCCATTTTTCAGAAGTGCCTATAAAGAGGCCTTGTTCTCAGTAATGTCTGCTGTGAGAACTGGTGATTTGCTGTTCAGTTTTGTGATGGAAATAACCTTAAATTTCAGGTTGTTGCTGCTGAGTTCCAAGAAACATCTGAATAACTGCATGGAAACTCTCTCCTTTTACTATTTTCTGCCAGCACTATGTCAGGCAGCCTCATGCTTCAAGATCTGCAGACTTGAAAATATTCCAGGACAGATTTTTATGACTGGCTTTGCCAGTGGAGGCAAAATGTTGGTGTATTAGCACAGGCTGTGGTGTAAAGGACAGCAAAACAGCAATAGTGTCTGTTTCCCTTCCTTGCATGGCTAATTAACATACACAAGCTGAGTATAATGACTGTTTTAATTACTTGCCACCATCCCAGATCCCTAACCAAGACTGACCTGATTTAACAGTCCATTGAAGCATTAAGAGTACATCTCGGAAGGATAAGTTATTCTTGGCTGAAATGTCACTATAACATTATTCTCTTCCCATAAATCCCAACAGAGAATAGTTTTCTTCTCTCTTGAATTTATGTTCCATTCTGGGTTAATTTCTTTGATACCTTCGTGCTGTACTAAAGCCACAGACCAGCCTTACTCATTATCAGCAGCTCTGTCCAGAAGAATAAAAATTGAGTGTTCTTGGTTAGAGAAGCAGACACCTTTAATTCTGGGAGAAAACATTATTGCTTTTTACTAATTAAATTGAGATTTCTTTACAACCTGGTGTTTAGCTGTTGTCAGCAATTAGTCTGTTGTTATTTGGAAATTTCAGACATGGTTTCTGTAATTGTGCTGACCTCTCAGTGTTTTTGTGGCTTGCAAGTTTGAAAAATGCAGCAGAGGCAAACCATCACCAGTTATGTGAATTAAAAAGATACTTTGTTGTCAGAAAACAATGTGCCCTTCAGAGTGGCATTGAAGTTTATGAATAAAAATTAAGTAAAAAATAATTGCTGTTATGTATTTTAGGCTGAAATAACAACAAGAAAGAAATTACTGATTATTTTTTGTATCCAAAGAGGTTTTTTTTTTTTCATATTTAAATAGATCCATGTCAAACACAATCATTTTATCACTGTCTTTACAGCTGAAGCTGCGAGACCTTGCTGGCCAGGCCATGGCTTTTATCCAAGAACTTGTAACAGCTCTCCTGAACTTCCACACATACACTGAGCAGAAGGTACAGATCTTCCCCATTGATTCTGCAACAGACACAATATCACCCTTGAATCAGAAGGTAAAGTTTACACACTTCAGCTACAAATATATTCAGTTAGTTAGAGTTTAGTGAGTGATTGATCTTAGTCGGAGAAAATTGCACCACCTTTACTGGAATGCTGTGAGTGTGTTCCTGAGAGCCAGCCCCTCCTGCATGAGACATCTTTTCTGCTCCATGAATTCTCTGAATGTGGATGAGGTGTAGCTGCAGAGAATCCTTTTCCCCTGTGCCTCTGCTAGAAGAGAAATACGATAATCAAATCAAAGCTTTGCTTTAATTACTAAATTGAAGTGCATCTGTTGAAAGTTCAGCTGACTCATTTTAAAATAATAATGCACAAATATTGCACTGCTGAATAGAGCTTTTTTTAGTTAATGCACTGGGGCATAGAAGATGTTGAGACAGAATCTGGTCTTGTGTTTAAAGTGCTCAGCTGTAATATTAAATAAAGGATAAAAGGTAACTTCTGTGAGGGAGAGCACCTGGACTCTTTTCCCTTGTCAAAAAACAATTTTATTATCTGATTTTGGGCTGCTTGTGTGAAGGTGTTTCCTGTAAGTGTTCTGAGGCTTCAAGCTTGTGAAGCTTGTTGAAATTATTATGAGAAATCTGACTCATCTCTTTTGACACAATTCATGGAAAGATTTTCTGAGAGTGCCATCCAGAGCTGTTAAGTTGCATATTTTTACTTTGTTTTTCTATGATGTGAACTAGAGAAAATAACTGTGCACAAGGATTTGTGTGGGGATGCACACATGTATGTTTTGGAACAAATTGCATTAAGATCAGAGTTGACTTCATAGTTTAAGGGGATCTCTGAGTATTTAAGTTTCAGGGAGTATTTTGTGATTCATTTTCTTAATTTCAGTTTAGTAGTTGCTAGGGCTCAGGCTTAAGGTACTGAGGTGAATTGTGGTTTGCATTGATCAAGCGGCTGCAGTGCATGTGGTGTCAATGTTAACTATGACAAAACTTTCCTGTTCTTTGGAAAACCTCCTATAATCTCTTTTCAGGTTACAAATATGTTTATGAAGGTGGTTATCCACTAGAGAAATCCCTTTCTGTTTGCCTTCTCAGTTGTTTCAACTGTTTTAGTCAAGAACACCCTTCTGCAGAGATTCAGCAGAGTTTGAGAACATTTTCTTGCTCCTGCCACCAAATGCACTCAGAATGGCTTTTCCTTCTTGTGAAAATTATGTTGTTTAGTCAGCTTTAAGATTTTTTTGGGGCAGGAGTGTTTTTTTTTTTTAATGTGGCCCAGTGTGGTGACTGCCTTCTCAGATACTACTGCAGTTTACTAAAGCAATAAATTCAGATTTCCTAGACATCTCTTCTCAGAGATTTTTTTTCCCTGACCTCCTAGTTAACACTTCTTTATTGTTTTTCAGCATAGCTGAAACAGGGAACTTAATCAGAACCATAATTTCATTTTCCTTTTCTTATAATTGAGTCCGATTCAGTAGTTCAGGCTTTGTTTTCATAATTATGTCTCTTGTAGTCTGCCCCACTGTGTATTCATGACCTAATTCCCTCAGTGCATGCTACTTCTCAGGGCTTTTGCTATGACTTTCCAGTACTGAAGCATCTTTTATTGCTCACTGAAGCTGTAATTGCTCCTGTATTTTTGATTAATTTATCTATTTACTTGGCAAATGTTCTCAGTGTGATTTTTTAATTTTATTTTTAGCTACTCTACCAAGTTGGTCAAAAACATCCCCTTAATATGGTAGAGAAGATGAAACAAGTGTCAGGTAGTGGCTTAGCAGACTTGCACTGATTTATTTTTCCCCAACTCCAGGTCTTGTCTGGTGCTTTCAAGCTATTTTCCCCACCAAACACTCAAAGTAGATGTGGACAGTTCCCTGCCAGGTTCAAGTATTCCTTTTCTCTTTAAGGGTTGGATTGCTGGGTTCTGCTGGGTCTACAGCATCATGCTGGATAATTCAAGTCCTCTCTCTTGCAACACAAGCCAGGAGCATTCTGCATGTTTTATTTCTTCCTCCTTAGATTTAGGATTTTTCCCTAATTCCACCCAGGTTTGTGCATGCATGGATCAGAGCTTAGCATCTCACTCTTCTTGTTAACACTGTGTTACTACACTGTAATAATACAAGGAACAATTAAAATCTCTTGTACTCTTTTTGCCTGGGATCTTTAGCTGCTCTTGTGGTGTAAATAATCAAAGGTGAAGGTATCTTTCTGTGGGGTAAAATAAAAGCCAGGATTGCTTTGGACTACCTGTATTAATTTGTGGAAGAAGCTTTTTGTGGTACTGAGGTATCAAAATGAAAAGCTGATGGTGTTGTTACATTTGATTGTGTGTAAGAGTACATCTTATGTTCTCAGGTCTGCTTTTTTGAAGGCAAAATTAACTGTAGGATTTAATTAAGCAATTTTTAGCCAGGTCAAGCAGGTCCATGAGGCCAAAGTCATAGTTTTAGAAATAAGAATTCTCCTGTGATCAGTTGGAGCTCCATGCTTTGCTTTAGCATAAGCATGCTTTGACTCATGTGAAAACTGGACTGGACACAGATAAAAAGACAAAAAAGACACATCTCTTGCTCTCAGTTTGACTTGGGTTTAGTTCTTCAGTACTTTGCACAGCACAGCTTGCAAATGTTTGTGCTGATGGACAAGGCTGGGAGGCAAACTACTTTTGGGAGGAAGGTGTGATAGAGTATTCTGTGCCTAAATGGTGCAGGGATCTAGCCTTAATTGGATGGAGTTGAGAAAGGAGTGCAGGAATGTTTAAAACTAAAAACCAAGGGTTTGGTGTGCTGTGCATGGCAGTTGAAATGAGACTGTATGCCCTGGCAAAGCCCTAGGTGTGGTTTTGCCTGGACTTCCAGTGCTTCTCACTTTCCCTCAGGATGTGTTTTTGACTGTAGAAGAGATTGCTGTACATCACTGGACTGTTGTATCTCATTAGTGACATCTTAGGCATCGTTAATGGGGCTTTGCCAAAATGTCCCGTTCAGTTGTTACCTTGGCAGAGTTCACAGGAGCTGTCAGCAAACACCATTTTAAAACCTCTGTGTCCTCAGTTCTCACAGTATCTCCATGAAAACGCTTCCTATGTTCGCCCTCTGGAGGAAGGAATGCTGCACTTGTTTGAGAGCATCACGGAGGATACTGTGACAGTCCTGGTAAGATTTCCTCCTTTTAGTACCCAAAAAGATTTTTACAGAGCAAAACCACTTAGCTGTTGTTTTTTCCTTACAGGAAACAACTGTGAAATTGAAGGCCTTCTCAGAACATTTAGCTTCCTACTTAGGCTTTTTAAGAAAGATTCTCCCATATCAGTTAAAAAGGTACCTTTCATTTGATAGATCAAATTTAAAGGCATTGTGTCAGGCATGCAGCACTGTCAGCACCTACAACTCAAATATTAAGTCAAACCTTAAAATACTTTGGCCTCTGCTGTCTTAAAAGGCTGAACTTTTTTTTTTCTTCTTCTTCTTAGTCTTTTTGCATGTTGTTTTCTAAACCTTGAGGTTAGGCACACCTTTTTAAGACATTAGGACTAAAAACATGTACTTTAAAGCCCCTCCACACACACCCTCCCTCACAGATGGGACTTTAAAAATAATGAAGCTTTCATTAATGTTTCTCAGTGTTATTCAGTAGCATTGATACTATTCAGGTGTGATACACTGAAACTGTTGATGCCTTGAGCTTCTCTGAGGGTTATTCTTCAATCAATAAATGTAGCAATGTAGTAAAACTTGGCTAGGTGTACCTCCCTTCTGCTGGGAAAATCTTTGTTCCTGAGGTGATTGAAGGGAGGTGAATTACAGGTGCAAAGAACTGCTTTAGGAGAGGATTTTGACTAAGGAAGATGAAATCCCTTGATTTATGCCTCCTTTATACCTGTTCTAGTGCTCCTTAGGAAGCAAAAGAGAGTTTATGTGCTAGAGGGAAAAGTCTTCAAACTTAAATTGCTGCAATCAGTTCCTTGCTGTGAGAGTAAGTCATTCCTGGCTTGTGACAGAAACACCTGGGAGTGGCCATGCACACAGCAATTTTCATGTATTGCTAAGTTCCTCTGCTGTGTCAGCCTTTCTAAAATCAATTCCGGGTCTGCTGTTGCTTTGGACTGGGGAGGTAGAGAACACCTATGTGCTCTAAAACTCGTGAGCTTGTTATTTTTAAGCCAATTGCTTGCTTTTTTTAAAAAATAATTCATATATTCCTAGTTTGGAAGAAGAGTGTGAGTCTTCTCTTTGCACAGCTGCTTTAAGAGCTAGAAATATGGAGCTGCACAGAGACATGAAAAGGTTGACTGCAGTCTTTGAGAAGCTCCACACGTACGTCAGTCTTCTGGCCTTACCAAGTAAGTTCAGTTCTGCCTTGGCTGGCTACCCTGTGCCTGGTTTTCTGTGGGTTTTTATAGTATGATTGACAGTATGCCTTTTAATTATTAAATGGTTAATAAACTACGTTGTCTTACTAATCATCACTTCCAGCCCCTTGTTTCTGTAAGGTTATTACAACTGTCAGGCTAATAAATAATAAAATGAATAAAGTGAGGTAAAGCCTTTGTGTGTATGTGTGTGGGGAAATTATCTCCAAATGCATCCTGTAAATAGCAGTAGGAAATGGTTATTGTATAGCTTCAGGTTATTTCAGTCTTCACTCTAGAAAGGCCCAGATTGTCTTTCCTACAGCATGTCTTTCTGTATGTGTGGATTGAAACCAACACAATTGATATTTATGAAATCTGAATAAAAACTAGGGGACTTGAAAGTCTTTCACCTGCCTGCTCTGCCAGAATTGCATATATGCATATTTGATTTTGAAGGGAAAATTTAAGTAAATTAATCTGTTGTGACTCATACTCTATGCAAATGGTTCTAGTAGGTGGAAACTGAATTCTTTCCAAAGCTAACTTTTTTCATTCATGCTCAATTCTTAGTTTTGTGGTTTTCCTTCTTATATGTTACTCTTAGGTACAAGACCAGAAGGACTCCTTAGGACAAATTACAACTTTGTGTTTACAAACATTGCTGCAAGTCTTCATGGATTCCATGACATTTTAAAAGGTGAGAGTTGGGAATGTTGTCTTGTTTCAGCTTTGCTGCTTTCTTGTTTAGCATACACACATGCACTCTCTCTATAACACTGCTGAATGTATTGTATGTGATAAATCTGCTTTGTTTTACCTTTACATGCTAAGAAACTAAACCTACTAACCACTTGTTTTAGACATTCATGCATGGTTTTCATTCCTCCATTCTCTTAGCTTTGTTCCTCAGAGCTGCTGGATTATTTAACTGTGGCTCTCCAGATTTTCCTGAGCAGTATCACTTCACTTTCTGAGCTTCATTGCTCTCCTGAAACTAGCACACAGAACGGAATGCTGAAATGTACATATTTTCTCTGCATATGTAGCATTGACCTAGTACCTGCCTTCAAAGTGGAATTTTTCCTTCCTATTTTTAGGGTGATGACTGTTTTTAACATGAATATATAACCAAAGGTTACAAAGAAGTCTGAGTTCTTTTTGAAACTTGGCTTCTTCTGGAAAATGGTTTACCTTGCTTTTATCAGAACAACATGGATATGTTATGTTTTCAGTGAAGGGGTATTTGGTTAAAACTCAAAATTTTAAAACTGATGTTCCTGCATGTCCTGGAATTTCAGTACCAACGACCTGTTTCTCAGGAGGAAATAATCCATAGAGATGAACTGGATTTTTACTAGTCAGCTGTTTAAACATTAAGCTTTCATAATTTTGAGCAAAATTGGGCTGTTTTCCTAATAGCATGAGTAGTATGGCCCCATTTTGCAGTCCTTGTTTTAAAGAAAAAAAGAAGATATTAAAGATTGTACCTCACACAAAATGAGACCCTAAACCAAGAGTTTTGTAGCACAGATAAGTTTAAAATACTTTCTACCTCTTAATATGGTTGCTGTACTGTAAAGTCAATCCAACTTATACTTTAAAGGAAATACAGAAAATAGAAGTAGTGAAGAAAACTGTCAGTTGAATTCATTAGCTCTTAACAGGAATGCTCTTCTTAATATCTCACATTCCCATTCTCCAGAATGTTTAATTTCTCTCTTCTTTCTCAATCCCAACTAATTTTGAACTTCTTAAGATGATTTCAGCTTACAGTTTGTGGTGGTGATGAGCTGGGATTTCTCCATTCCGTAGCAATAGTACTCTGTTTTAAAATAGGTGCACATTGTTCACTTGTCAATTGCTTTTTTTTTAATTAGACCACATTGAGTACGTTCTTACATGATAAATACTTGATTCTTTTTAAATTTTGCTGTTGTTGAAATTAATATATTTAGGCTAAGATGAGTTTGTGAATGACTTTCAAAAAGTTTTTTATTCTTAATTTGGCATAAATGTGCTTTTCATTTTCCAGATATTTCCAAGCACTATAGTCAGAAAGCTGCTTTAGAACAGGAAGTTCCAACTGCCACACAGAAACTCATAACTACAAACGACTGTATTTTATCCTCTGTTGCTGCTTTAACAAATGGAGCAGGCAAGGTAATGGATATTTTTGTTTCAAACAGTGCTTTGACTTGTGCAGATTTTTAAGAAACAAAAATAAACTTAGCTGAATGATTTAGAAAATCTCTGTGTGCCTCTGATATTAATAATCTGTAGTTTCATGTTGATTCTTGAGTTATTCTCAGGCTATGAGTTAAAAACAGCTGAGTGATAAAAGCAGATCCTGTGAAGAGGATGCTTTGTGTTAGGAAGGTCTAAGTTTTATGGAAGAGCCTGCAGCTTGTTTTAGCTGAATGATTTAGAAAATCTCGGTGCCTCTGATATGAGGAATCAACATGACACTACAGATAATTGAGTTATTCTCAGGCTATGAGTTAAAAACAGCTGAGTGATAAAAGCAGGTCCTGTGAAGAGGATGCTTTGTGTTAGGAAGGTCCAAGTTTCATGGAAGAGCCTGCAGGTTGTTTCAAAGTCTTGTTAAGTCCAGCTTCACTAAATAGTTGTCTTTCCAAAGACTAATTGCTCCAATGACTCCTTCTGGTCAACTTAATTCAAAGAGCCACTTCTCTTGATGTGTCTAGATGGCCTCCTTCTTCAGCAACAACTTGGATCACTTCAGCACCTCACTGAGCTACGGCCCCAAGGGAGGAGCAGAGTTCATCAGCCCTCTCTCAGCTGAGTGCATGCTGCAGTACAAGAAGAAGGCAGCTGCTTATGTGAAGTCCTTGAAGAAGGTTTGTTCAGCCAGTGTGCTTGCACAGAGAGAGAACAGTTCTGTTGATGGTTATGCCAAGCAGAATACAAACGAAGGGTTTGCAGGGTTTGGAATGGAAGAGATTGTCTGAATGACAGGTTTTGGCTGAGGAAGTGGGACCCTCAGTGCAATAATGCTACTGAAAACTTCAGAGAGTGTAGTTGCTCTCACAACTGAGGGTATGTGCCACTTCTGCCTTACCCATTTCCGCTAATTATTTTTGTGCCAAGACTCCAAGGAGAAGAGGGTGTCTGCTTATGTAAATTTCCTCCTGTATTCACCAGGAATATGGAGTGAATAAAAACATATTCTCACACTTGCAGTCACTGGAAGACACAGGGGGAAAATAAAGGAGGTACCCTCGAGAAACTGTGCTGAACCAAAAGATTGAATGCAGTCAGATCTCCATGTTGCCTCCATTAAAAATAACAATTAAGTGATGTGCTTAGCAGTTGTTACTAAATCACTTTACTGCAATGTCTGTAAAGAGGACCTTAAGATGCCTTTGATCATTAATTAAACACTCAGTTTTCTGAGCACTTTTTAATCAACTGTACTTTTTGGGAGCTTTTGTATTTCTTGAGAGCTCAAACCGTTTTTTCCTACTGCCTGGTAAGCACTTAGAACATGTTTTTTTTTCCCTTTACTAAAGTAAGGAAACTAGTAAGAAAACAAAAGCAGAATACATGTTCTGATCTAGTGTGTAACATGTTTTGAGAGGGTTTTTTTGATTCCTCTGCAGCCTTGTGCAGATTCAGTGCCTTATGAAGAGGCTTTAGCCAATCGCAGAGTTCTGCTGAGTTCTACAGAAAGCAGGGAAGGTCTTGCACAACAGGTATTGTACTAACATTATGGCAGTGTATTTTGTAAAGGTAAACTTGTTTTGAAGTCTCCACATTTATGTGTGTGGTCATTTGGAGGTATATATGAATATGCTGAACCTTAAAATTAGACTGTAGATGTCTTGTAGAGTTCTGAAAGTAAAACCCTTCTCAGGCTGGCTTATCTGCAGAATGTATGGATAGGTAAATAGAGGAGCCAGGATTATGCCATTGATACCTTCCTTTGGAAATACAAGAAGTCAGGTAATTTTTAATAATTAAAATAAATGAAAATAAAGACAGGAATAAGGCATACTAAAGGATTATTTTTTAATGTTGTGTACTGATTTGAGTTCTCTTTTGGAATATGCAGGAAATATTTGATAAAGACAGGAATAAGGCAAACTGAAGGATTAATTGTTAATGTTGTGTACTGATTTGAGTTCTCTTTTGGAATATGCAGGAAATATTTGCACTGGTTAGGAGCACTGATTTTTCTTTTCCATTAGAGTAATAGAGTTTCTGTCTTCCACTATGCACATGTATTTTTTTTTTTTTCTGGAAAGTGAAGCAGGATGAGTAACATGGTATTTAAAAGGCCTACAGTTTGTCCATTGCTTCATGTGAATGAGAATAACTAATTAATACTGACACTTCTTTATTAGCTTGTATATTCAGCCTGTGCTTGACTCATTGTCATTGAACTGTTACAGAAACAAATACTTTGGTGATTTTTTTTTTTGTAGTTACCAATATTCTAAGTGTATTAGTAGGAGTGAAATGAATTTCAGCAGAAATGTGCAGTGATTAGATGTGTTCTATTCCATAGTTGTTTTATTACCTGGACAAAGTGGGTGGTTCTGGTTGTGTGAGGTGGGACAGCTGGGAGGGGACAGTTTGGCTTTCTAGCATAGAAAAAGGTAGTGATATTGCCAGGTACACACATCTTTCAAGTTTTTATAAAATTCTTCTTTGTTTTGGTTTTTCACCTAGTACAATGTTGCCAGTGTTATGAGCTGTGCATGTTTCAAACTAATTAAATAATGTGGCTATTTTTGACAAAGAACCACAGCTAAGCACACGGCTCAAAACAGTGGTTGTTTACCTGCTGCACTTTGTTAGCTCATTTATGTAATGGTTTAAAATAATACTGTCCTGAAACATTTCCTGTGTTTGGTTTTTTTCCTCCCTGGGTTCAATAACCTGGACTGTAAACTTTCCCTCCTAAAGGTCCAGCAGAGTTTGGAGAAAATTGCAAAACTTGAACAAGAAAAAGAACACTGGATGTTGGAGGCTCAGCTGGCTAAAATTAAGCTAGAGAAGGAAAACCAAAAACTGAAGAACTCTCTTAGTGGACATTTAACTGAAACTATCCAGGAGCATTCAGTTCTGCCAAATATAGCAGAACAAAAGAAGGAAACCACAGAAAAGAGTCTGAGGGAACCTATTAAGAGCACCAGTCTGGTAAGTGACCTTTCCCTTCAATAGAGGAAAATCCACTTTCTTTAGTAGCTGTGCTGTTTGATCAGTGGAACACTAAAAATGAAAGCCTTTTGACTGTATTGAAAAGCATTCACTCTTGGGGTCCTTGTATTTGCAAAGCTGCTTGCAAATTCTTTCTGCAGAGTTGGGCACTTCTTGGATTTTGAGACTTTGTTTGCTGTCTTTAGTATTGTGAAGATAGTATTGTCTTTTTGTAACTGAGGGGGAAATAATAGGTGCTTAACCTCCTGATTTGTCTGTAGTTTGGAGACTTTGCAACTGTTGTGTATCTCGGGTTGGGCTTGTATTTCCAATACTTTTATTCATCTCTAGGTATGTTAAAGCAAATGGAAGTAGGTAGGTAGTGTTTGTAAATGGGTTTGAAGACTTAGTGGAGTCAGTTTGGATTCAGCAATTGCTTTTGGATGTAGCATGCATTCTTTGCTGTTAAATGGCTTTTTCCTGTTTACTAACATATTTAAAATGATTTGGCTTTTCCCCTGAATTCCACTTCTGAAGTGGAATAGTGGCATAGTGGCATAGTGGTATTAACAGGAATGTCATCTGTAAGAAATAATAAATTTGCTCAGCATTCAATAGAGTTCTTTTTTTTTTTTTTGTCCTCCCCACTTAAGGACTCCAAGATAAAAGTAACTAGTGGATTGTTTTGAAAGCACCAACTTCGAAGTACACTGGCATCTTAAGTTTTTGGTTCTCTATTTGATTCCTTAGGAGTTTGATGAGAATGTTACTCATGGGTCAACATACTGTATGAATGTTTCCCATAAACATGAATCTCTAGTCCTATTGAGATCAAGGGGAAAAAAGCCCCTTGGATTCTCTGGGAAGATACCCTTTCATGAAACCAGGTATTGGCTTGCACTGCTCCTGTAGCGTTTTGTCAGTGCTTACTAGTCAGAGGGGGAAGGAAGGAATTTGGAAGGTATTCAACAAATCCAGGTTGACTTTCCTTCCTCTTAAACATGACAAGTAATGTTTCAGTGTGCTAACGTGGCTCTGAATTAGTTTCATATGATCAAGCAGTTGCATAACCGTAGGAGCCCAGCTGCATCTTGTTGCTTTCATTGCCTTTTCCCTGTGTAGCTCCTAAGACGAGATATATTTTTGAGAGTTGGTGTCAGGTTTAATTCTGTTCAAGGCACTCATGTAACCACTCTTGTTTATGTTACAGGTGGAAGTACTTAAATTTTATTTCAGTTTGAATGGTTGCAAGATTGTTTAAATTCCAAGTCTTTCTATGACTGAAACCAAATTGAAGCTATGGTATCTATTTTTTTGCAGTTCTCATTAAGTATATTTTCTTCCTTGTTCTAGATTGGAATGTTGACTGTAACTACTGATAATGAAAAGGTAATCTGTTTTAAACATTATTAAAGTCCATCTGTTAAATACTTCAGTTTTGATTCTGCCAAACTTATTCCACAGGTCTAATTACCAAGAATATGCCTCTATAATGGCACAAGTTGACCATGTAGTCTTTATATATTAAATGGTCAAATTTCTGAAATGCATGTGTTCTTTAATTTTCTTCTTCTGTTAGTGAGCTGTATTTGGCCCATGTAAGCCTTTTGAGCAGTGTGAACTGGAGTCAGGGTCTGCTCTCTATAATTTGAGGAAGGCATTGGTCTGTGCCTCAGCAGCCCAAACTGTATCCCAAGCCTCCATTCTTAACCCTGGAGGAAGGGCTCAAGCTGCATAAAAAACCCTGGCTGCAATGCCTGGGGTACAAAGCAGAGGTCACCCTGAAACAAGGCTTGAACCAGCCCTCAGAATAAATGTTAACTCTTTATTTAGCCCTGCTATAATGTAACACTTGATCCAGCAGGAACTTCTGAGAGTAAGGTTCACCGATTTCCCTTTCCCTTTTCGGAAGGGAGCTGTGTGGATGTGTAGTTTGGTTCACTCCTTGTCTTCTGAAAGTGTGATTAAAAAGAGGTAGGGAGCTAGATAATAACTCATACAAGTCCTTAAAGGCTTCTGCAGTGCTGAACTTGAAGGTAATGACAAATCATGTGAAAGCTGACTCCAGTGGGTTAGTCTGGAAACTACTGAGTTGTTGGGTTTTTTATTTATTTATTTATTTTAATTTTCAATGTATAAAGAAACTTCTGGAACGTGCAACATTAGTAATGGTTATGACTTTTGTACGCTTCTGAAATAGTTATGTGATGGAATTCTTCCTTGTTGGGAAGAGACAGTAAGTTTTCATGTAGGTGAGAGCTGTTCACTTCTGCAGTGGGTTTTCATCTTCATCAGGCACTTGATATACTAAAGCAAGTTAAATTCTTACCTCTTCAGTCAGCTCTTTGTCCTGTAAGCAAATCTGACATTAAGATCCCCCATCAGAGTGACAAATTGCAGTGTGGCCTGCTGTAATTCATCTGTTCTGTTTGGGGAATTTGATACTTTTTGATAGAGCAGCCAGGGCTCAGAAGGTAAGAATAAAAATGTCAGTATAGAGGCAATGTTGTGATTCAGCTGTTCAGTGTACTAAACATAACTGTTGTCTGCTTAAACTTTTCTTTGCCAGGCTCCAGATGTTGAGTCTCGTGAAGACCTGATAAAAACTCACTACATGGCCAGGATAGCAGAGCTGACCTCTCACCTGCAGCTTGCTGACAGCAAATCAGTGCACTTCCATGCTGAGGTGAGCATGCAGGCTAGGACAGTAAATCTCTTTGTGAACTTCCCACAGGCAAGTGCTATGATAGTGAATTTCAGTATATGGAGCATAATGTTTTATACAAATCTGTTCCTGGAATATTTTTGATTGCGGTCTAACATGCATAAAAACAGATACTGTAAAAGAGCTTTTTATGTTTAATAAATCCTTTGGTAGCCTTGTCTTGGCTGTATTAAGAAGTATAATGTGTGTCATGTATGGGTTTGTTCACATAAGCTGAAGCAGCTGGCTTTAGTTACCAAGGAAGTTTTGACTTAATTTTATAGTGATGCTGATGTCATTCAAAAATATTTGAGTGTGTTATGAAGTGATGGAAACAGCTCTCCTGAGAAAATTGGCTCTTAGGCATAAGTTATACTACAAGAATGAATAAGATGATTCATTGTATCTATGGTTTCCTTTTCATTTCAAGTCATGAGGAAACTTTTCTTGAAAGTAGTGGCTGTTTTGATTTGTGTAATAAATGATGTGGAATACACTAAAGCTCTAGGTTAACAGAGCAAATCTTCTTAAATAATTTTTTTAATGGAAAATGACATAGTATGGAGGAACCATCTTTTCTGTGATATTTGAGCCTTGTGTGAAGTGAGTTGTATTGCTTTTTACTTATGAGAAGTTTTGTAGCAGTTACATGAAAAATACGATATTTAGAGGATTGGCAATATGGTAGCTCTATAAAATGAACCATTTAATGTTAACTATCCCATTACCTCTGCATTTCAAAATGTGCACAAGCTCTGAGTTCCTTGAAATCCAAGTGTCACAGATGGAAAAGTCCATAGCAAGCACTTAAGGATGCCACAAGGCAATACTGTGGAAGTGACTTTTGTCCCTTGTTCCCCCCCTGTCCTGTTCCTGGTAGTGTCGAGCACTTGCCAAAAGACTTTCTCTGGCAGAGAAGTCCAAGGAATCGCTCACGGAGGAGTTGAAGCTCGCCAGTCAAAACATCACCAGATTGCAGGCAAGTCAATTGTTCTGTAATGTAATAGATGCATTTTGTAATCATGTGTAAGGGGAAGTTGGAACAGAAAAATGACAACCATCTAGCCTGCCCATGCCATTACTAGGTCCTGTGTTGTGGAATATAAAAACTCTAGTGGTGTGTGGAGAAGAGCCTTAAATAATACACTTTAAATCCCAGGTATAAAGTTGAAGTGGAACATGCTTCCAAGAGAAGGTTATATTGGCCAAACCTGTGTGTTTTAACCCACTTGATGTCAAGGATTTTCACGAAAATGAGAGAGTTGTAATGCTTTAAGGGGTGCTGGTTTGACTGATTTCAGATGAAACAAGGAGTTCTTAGTCCTTTCTTGCACCTGGGTCTGAAAGCTTTAAAAAATGCCAGGTTGATTTGGATTTTTTTAATGTAGATACCTTAAGCAAAGATAGTTTTGGAGTAATCTTTAAGAAACTGTTGCAAACAGTAACAAAAGTCAACTCTTATGGCATCCTGTGAGTGTCCCGTCCCTTTGTCCTTCTCCTCCACAGAGCTGAGAAAGATGCCAGTAGTACAATAAAGTATAAATAAATACACAACTCATAAATTCCTTCAGGTTTTCTTTGCACTTATTTCATATCATTATTGCTCATCTGTCTGTGATGGTGAGTACCAAAATTGCTCCATAAAGGCTGTGAATATAACGTTAGAAGCTTTGAGCTGTTGTGCCCATGAGCAATCCATTTTAAACACTTTCTTGATTTGTTCCTTTAAGAAATTCCACAATAGATGTTGAATGCAGCATGAGATGTTCATTTCCAACTGCATATTTAACTTCCTGGGAAAAGATAGCAGGCACACACCATTTGTATGTTTAGTAGTCTGCATAGTAGTGAATAATAGACTTGTTTAGGTTGGAAGGGTCCCCTGAAGGTGATTTGTCCCCCTCCTTTGGTCAGAGCAGAGAGCTCAGATCCAGCTGTGGAACTGGATATTTCCTATACAGCCATGCTGGCCTTCTGCTACAGTCACTCCATATTTTAGGCATTGGATTCTGTCCTTGATCATTCAGCTTTCCTGGGCCCCTGTAAATTCCAGGGCAATTTTACCTGGGACCTTTCCAAGCAGACCTTGAAAGAAGCCAGAATTTACTCTTCTTGAGTCTAGGGTAGCTGTAATTCTGCTATTCATCTTGCTTCCCTCAGGATCCTGAATGCCACTAACTCATGGTAGGGGCAGCCAAGGCTGCTATTGGCTTTCACATCCCTGACCAGCTTTTCCTTATTTGTGAGTAACAGGTCCAGCAGAGAGCACCTCTTGGTCCCACTGATCACCAGCGTCAAGGAGTTCTATGCCACACTCAAGACAGATCCTCAGTTGCTTGTGTTCCACCTTGTTGCCCTTCCAGGATGTGTCAGAGTAGTTAAAATTCCTAATGAGGATCGGGGTCTGTGGGTGGGAGATTTTTATCTGCGTGCAGCAGATGCCTGTCATATCAACGTGTTGTTCTCCTACTGGTCAGATTTATTAGTCTTCAAGCCACTTCTTCACACAGAGCAGGATTTCTTCCCTTCTGTCCTTCCTAAAGGGTGTTTATCCCTTCATTGCTGTGTCCTAGTCATGCACACTATCCCCTCATGTCTCTGTAATCCCAGAGAGATCATAGCTTTCTCTGCCTGCATGTGGAGTGGTGGTTCCTTCAGCTTTGGATGCCTCGTATGTTCTTGTGCAGGCCATGCTTTAACCCCATAAACTTTACTTGTTTCCTGGCTGGAAACAGTGGTAGAAAACTTAGCTGTTCCTCTTTTATGTAAGCCATAAAAAGTGGGGGGAAATCTAAAGGAAACAATGCAAAAATAAAGGGAGCAAGCCATGCATGGGACTTCAGGTAAAAGAAAAAGTAGCTGCTGACTTCCTTTCATAAAACAGGGGTTTTTTAGCTGAATTGCACACACTCGGCATCAATAAGTGGAGGTGGAAGTGTGCTGCTTTGCCAGCAATCAATAATACTGAGCCAGAGCCTCTGGTTGTTTAATTTTTTCCATTAGGATGAACTGATGACGACAAAGAGGAGCTACGAGGACCAGTTGAGCATGATGAGTGACCACCTGTGCAGCATGAATGAAACCTTGACAAAGCAAAGGGAAGAGATTGATACACTAAAGATGTCCAGTAAGGTGAGCTGGCAGTGCTGGCACGGGGCTCTGGCTGCAGCTGGGGGTGGCAGGGTTACATTTGGTGTTCCTGCAGCACTGCCCTTGGGCAAACCAGCTCACAAGCTGTAATTCTTGCTCTAAGCCAGTTGGAAAGAAAACTCCAAACTTGCTCCTTCTAGTTTCAGTGAAGAAAAAAATTCTTGCTAAACATACATGTGGGAAAGAAGAAGCTCTTCATGTCACTGCTTCACATCAGGTTCTCAAAGTGTACCCTCTGATGGCAGATCACACCATTTTTTTGTGTAAATGTGGTGAAAAGGGAGCTGTTTGTAAATCCGGCTGTAGAGGCTGCGTGGTTATGATGTAGTTCTGGGTGGAAGTGTCCCTTCTCCACTCCTTTTGGTTGCAGCATACTCTGTCCTTGGCAGCTGGTCTCTTTCTCTCTTCTATTTCCATATTCTGGCTCATCTGTCCCTTGTGTAGGAATGAAAAAGTTGCCACTTGTTTTCCTCTGTGAGCTTGAAATGCACACTTTAATTCTTTACCAGGCAAGGAGGCTACCCACTTGTCAGAAACAGATTTATTTACTTACCTAATGATGAAAAGTACAGAAGTCTGCTTTTTTGAGCAGCCAGTGATTAAACCAGGGTATATCCTTCTCTGATGTTTCTAGGGAGGAACAGATGTTATGAAGGCCTTTGTCCTTTGTTTGACTGACTGTGAAACAAATTATCATTATTCTCCTTATTTCTGAGATGCATGGAAGCAATTGTCACTGAAGGATTAAAAAAGTAAAAATAATTTAAAAACCCTGTTCTGATTAAAGATCATATGATGATGATTTTTATTTTTTAGAACAAACTCTTCCTCCTGCTTTTCTTCAGATTTCTGAATGTTTTAACTTGGCATTGTATTCTTTAAAATTACTTTGTTGTGTAAAAGCCATTGTGTTTCCAGAAGGAAGCTCTTGGCTGCATACTGACCATAACACTTAATGTTTCTATAAAATGTTTTCTGGAATGTCTCACTTGCCATACTTCTAAGACTTGAATTGGTACTCTGTGTGTAAGGACCTCAGAATCTCACAACAGAAGCCACACAGGTTTTCAGATGTTACCAAATGTAGAAGGGGATTCAGCTGCAATCCAAATGATGCAGTTAAAGGCCTTAACACTTGGAGAGAGTTGTTGGTTAGATTCAAAACAAATGTTATCTTCAGGAAATAGGAAGACTGAGAATTGCCAGCAAGTAACTATTGCACAAATCTTTATTTTAAGCTCCACATTTCCTTTGTGGAATTACTGAAGGTCAAATGTGATTTGGCTAGCTGTGGAACAAACTCTGTTCTGAACTAGAAATAATCTGTACAACCTGAATTAAAGTAAAATTCATTTGGAAAAAATATCCAATATGGTGGGGAATATTAATGGTATTAATACAATTGAATGTATTGGAATGTCCCTCAAATGTCTTTCACAGGTTTCAGTTGTAGTAAGGTATTATTGTGCTTATTTGAGGTATCTGGTACTGTGCTTATTTGAGATATCTGGTACTTGCTTCTGTTGTGCTTATAGAAATAGAAAAATTTTCAGAGCAAATGGTTACAGTCTGTCCAACTTAGAAGTCCATGCAGTGTTTATTTTCAGTCTGACTGTACTTTGTTTGCTGTAGGCATAAATTATTAGACATCAGATTTTGTATGTTACCTGTCTGGATTTCCTTACCTGAATGATAATGTTCTCTTTTCATGTTTCTTGTTGCAGGGGAATTCTAAAAAGAACAAAAATCGATAGTTTACAGCCGAGTCTTTGGAAGCTGCTGCTGCACAGGATGCAGATAGTGACCATTCATTATCCAGTTCCTGTTTGTTCCAGAAAGCTGAGGCTGGTTTTGAGTCTAGTAAAAACTGAATTGGTACTGTAAATGGCTTAAAAATATTTAGAACTTGTAACAGATAAAACAGAACTTAATGTTGGCTCTAAACCAGGAAATACTCTGTGGATAATTTATATAGTAATTACCTTCAGTTTTTACTGTGCACTTTTTAAAACCAAGTTTTGATTTCATGTAACAACTTCAGATTTTGTATATTTTCAAATATGTTTCTGCATTAACAAATTTGGATTGGTGCAGTAGGTGTCTATTTTTGAGTTCTACATTTAATGGTCAGCACATGTACATTCCATTACTTGTTAATAACAGTTTAAAAATGAGTTTGGAGAGTCTTTTTGGCCATGCAAGCTGTGCAGTTACTGTAAATGTACTACTCCTGTTCTCAACCCTCTAGAATTAATTGGAATTGTGGCTTGAAATGATTTTTACAAATTCACCAAATAAATGGGATCATTGTTAGGCTGCAACAGTGGAAACCTTTCCTGCTTGCATTTGGCACTTTGGATTTCAAGGTAAGGAGCACAAATGGCTGAATTGGGCTACTTCAGTGAAATTGCTTTAAGGCATTTCTGTAACATTTTGTTTACACGTGTATGTAAATATATATTGGTTGAAATAGCTGTTTAAGGCTAGAGGAAACTGTGATTGTCATTTACCCTAAAAGAGTGAAACAATGTGTGTAGAATAGATCAGCTTACTGTGCTCTCTTACAGTAAAGAATATGAAATATGTAGAAGATTTAAGCACTGAATTTGCAAAAGGTCTTCATAGAATTGAGTTGTGATGGATTCACTGGGGAGATGCACATGGCTTTTCCTGTGTTTTCAGAAGTTTGTGAACTTCAGGCCTCTCCTAAATTTTGTTGTTTTTTTTTTTTTCAAGTGAAGTTTAATATCACAAGTTTTCACAGCATTGATTTGTTGTTGGGGTGGGGTTTGTTGGTTTTGGGTTGTGGTTTTTTTTTTTTTTTCTTCAATCAGATGCTGTGCTGCTTCACACTTTTTACACCAGTCTTCTGTTCCATAATTTCTATTATGGCACTTGTTTGTCCCACGGGGGTTTACTCTGATATCAGATGTGCTGAAATGTATTATCAGTATGTAATAATAAAATCAACCACCTGAAACCAGCTTGACTTTTCCCTTCCTTCTGGCAGTGCCCAGGCTGCAGAGTGTGACATTGTGGTGGGGTGTTCCAGCTGCTGCTGGTGGGATGGTTACACCAGTCTAGGTGCTCTCAGTGCTTCTCTTTGTTCTGATAGCTTTTCCTTTCAGAAATGCAAAACAGAAGTGGTTGTGAAGGGGAGAGGAGATGGGGAGAGCCTGCAGGGTTTCTTATTGATGTTGAATTAAGAACTATGTGCTGGTGCTAATGAGGGTTGGGAAATGTTGGCTTTCTCTCCAGCCATTTTATGGAAGCAGATACAGCTTCAACTGTTTCATTTAGATTTGGGAAGCAGATTGTTTTCTTCCAATTCTTTTGAAGCTGCCTTTTCTGAGGACTTTCATCTTGCACTTAAGGTACTAATCCAGTTATTTTAATTCTCTGAATCAAATTACTAAACTGACACTACTTTTGCTGATAGTATTTTTCATAGGTTGCTGCCTTTAGAAAAAGATTTTGCTTAGGCCATTTTTTACATGGGTGAATAAAAATAGTGTGTGTTTAGAATTTACATTAAAAAATCAAATGCTTGTTCAGAGTGTGCCCCAATATCCAAGCTGGAATTCATGTAGAATGTGCAGGCACTTAGGTACAATTCCAATGTACATCAGTTTATCAGCATTTTTTCTTTGCAGTGTTATTTCGGGAATGTATTTTGAGTAAGTTCTGGACAACTGTAAACTATCAATACCCAAAAGTAAAATCTGGCAGAAGAAATTTAAATCCGTTTTTTGGGTACTGCTGTAGTAGTGTTGTAAGGGGGCCACAGGATATTACACTGAAGTCAGTGGCATTAGAAACTGGATCAGGTGGAAATACCAACTCCTTGTGCTTATTATCTACTAGCCAGCTGATGCTGAATCTTCCTCAATACCTCAAATGCTGTTAAATGTTAAAATGGCTACTGCACAAGGCTTTGCTATTAAAAAGCTGAAGACTTGTTTCAACCTTGCAGCCAAAACCTGATCTTTGAGGCAAAGTTTTCCAGAAAAATTATTTTAAACTATATTTGCAATGGTATATGCAGAGTATCGCGGAATGTGCAAAGTCTGGGCAAGGAAATTTTACTAATAGAATTCATCTTCAGAAATGTGCAGTGTGAATGCCTTCAAGGTGGTTAATTGGGGAAACCAGTAAGAAAGTGTTGTAAAGTGTAAAACCCTTCAGCAGAATACAGTGTAAAACCAGGGTTAAAGAAAAGCCTGAATGTCAGTTATCTTTTTTAAAGGACAGTTCACTATGGCACACAAGTTTTAAAGCATTTTTAGTGCTTAATTTCTCCATAATAATGAATAATTTCTCTTTCTCAGGTTTAAATGGCTAATTCAGAAAACCACTGTTTTAATGGTTTTAATTGGATTTTCAAAAAATCTTTGAGCTTTGTTTTAAACCTATACTAACATGTTCAAGGCTCTCAAAACGTTCAGCTGTCCTAGATTTCTGAAAGCACATCCCAGTAACTACTATGGGTGTTGAAAATAAATACTTGCTGTAATCAGGCATTGATTTAACTTCAAGATTGCCCTCCTAAGAACCACTGCTCCATCAGTTTGAAACTGCCCAAGAAGCATCAAAGCCATTGTCTATTTTACAAGGCCTTAAGCTCCTGGAGGTCAGAGGTTTCCCTGCCTGAAAGCTTAACTTGTAAAACAGAATCTTAGGCTGGTGTCATAAGCTGTGCAAGGGTGCATCTCATTGCTGTTTGAGCAATGATTGTTTTGAATTGCTACATCTCTGACTTAAGCAGCAATCAGCTGAAGTGTTGGTTTAAAGTTGGTGGTGTTTGTCATGTCTCTTGTTAATCCCTTCAGCTTCATTCTGAACCAGTTCAGCATTTCATGGCATGATGAAATGTGCCAGATCTTCTTGATGCATGTGAAATATCCAGGCTGGAACAGTTTATTTTCCTACCTTTGGCCATTTATATGGTTATTTTCCTTTTTTTTTTTTTTTCCCAAGCCATCTTAATTTCTAATTTGTATTTATAATCCTGCTGCTCCACCTGCCCTCCCTTCCCTTGCTGGCAGATGAAGTTTTGGTGTGAAGGTTTTTGGCCCAGCATGTTTCCTAGGTGCTAACTTCACTGTTCAACAGTGCTTCCTGCAGTCCAAAAACCAGATTTGCTCCGACGTGCAAGGCATCAACTGCAAACAGGAAAGGAAATAAACTTTGTATCCACATAGTGCCTGTCAGGAAAAGGGAAAAGTTATTTACTGGCTTGGCTGAGCAGTGTCAAGGCTGTGGGGTTTTTTTTTAATAGTGTAAATCCAATGATATATTAAACTTTGGAGAACCATCTGGCCCTGTAAATTGGGCAAACCTGTTGTTTAATACAGTCTGTATGTAAGGTAATTTGAGAGCACTATCTTAGCAACAGTAGGGTCATAATAAAAACAAAGCTTAGTGCAGTAAAAAATTATAATTGCTGCCAGAGGTCTGATTACTTCCTCCCACGAAGGCTGGATGCTGCTCTAAGAATGCTTGTGTCTTACTCTGCCTTTTCTGCCTCTGTCACTACCTGCAGAATTGCTTGGCTGTGAATTCAATCCACGTTTGTTTAGAGAGGGCATTTTTGCCCAAATTCCTGAATATTTCTTTTAATCACAGAGTTAAAAACTTTAAGTGCAGTTGTGGCTGCAGCGCTGCCAGCTTGGTCACAGAGGGGGTCGGAGAAGAGCTTTGGGGGACCTTTGTGAGGCAGGGCCGGGCTGTGAGCTGCAGCACATGGAAACTGGCCTGGGGCAGCGCTCATTGTCTGCCTCTGCTGGGTGTGCAGGCAGCTTCAGACACGGCAGTGCTCATTCAGAGGCACCCAGCTCCTCACAGAGGCAAACACTCCAATTTGCTGAGCTGCAAAAAAACCACCAAGTCTGTGATTCTCTTTGGGCTTAATTTGCGTGGCAAGACATCCCACTAACAGCCCTAAAAGAATTCTGGTTATAAACCTCTTGCATGGAAATTGCAGAGATAGCAGTAGAAAGCACAATTTATCTGTTTGAGCACTGATTCATCCTGTGAGTCCAAAACTTTCTGAGCTGATGAGGTCTTAACTAATGCAGAAGCCTTTGAACCCCAGGCCTGGTGTCAAAGCTGTAGTTACAGTCCCCCATAAACAACACAGCTTTGTCCTGAGAAGAGTTAAACCCACACAGCTTAAGAGTCCAGGTCGTTTCCCGTTATTTTAGGCACTAGGGATTCTTTCATTAATTTTCTTGGCATCTAGTCAATGGTGGCTTGCTGCAGGCTCTGTCTGTATCAAATTCTTTGCTTCTGAAATGAGTGTGAGAACACCTTACACTGCCACACACTCCCCTTTCTGCCCCCTCATCCTTGTCTGCTCCCCCTTAAAGCTTCAACTTTTCTCTTGGATTTACAAGTCTTCAGTTTGGGCTTGAATAGCTATTGCAGAACGCTGCCTCCAAGAAAGATAATCTTAATGAAGTTACGAGGTTGAAAAGGTCTGAGCTGAGAATTTCAGTGCAGTTGCATTAACTGCAGCCCTTGGCACAGGGAACAGCTGTAATCCTGGAACTGCTGCTCCTCCTCTTCTGTGCCTTGTTCTTAGTGACTTTCAAACTGTCATGTGCAGGGTTGGATAAAAAGTGTGAGCCTGGAGAGGGGACAATCAACTTGACCAAAAGTTACTTCTGAAGTCTGGAAAGACTGGTTTATTTTTAGTCCAAACAAGCAGGCAAGAACAAATTTCTCTTAGATTATTGATCTAGCCCATGAGGTCAGAAACATTTAAAGCCAATTTCTCACAAAAATGACATCAATATGCTAAATTACTATAACCAATTTGTATGTAATAAATATACATCATTTAAATAGTGACTATACTAAACTCGTAAGTTTTTAATAGCAATTGTATTCAGTGAAAGGTGGTTTCATTTAACCTGAGGAGAATTTGACTTTTCAAAACAAAATGCATCTTAGTTAAGATGAACTTTTGCAGAAATTTCTTGCTAAAATAAAAGCAAAGCAGTGGAGGAAAGAGTTAAAATAAGTCTAGAAACAAGTGGTTTTCTGTCTCTATTTACAAATATTTGGTTCTAGCCAGATATGAACTGACGGGTTTCACTTTTGATAAAATAGTCATAGACAGTAAACATTTTATAAATAGGCAATGCACTGCAAATCATGTTAAGATCAATTTAAATATAATCAGCAATGTAAATGGAATTTGTTAGCATTGTAAAATGTTGAATGAGTTTTATAACTGCCTCTAGCAACATATAACACTGTATCTTTGTCAAATGTTCCTCAAATTATATTTACAGTAGAAATAACTTTTAATAGTTGTAATTTATTCTGCATATACTATTCATCAAAGTCAAATTATTTTAAGTAACTTTAAATCTTAGTATCAGGGTTTTTTTCCTTTGATGCTTGAGTTTATATTGCACTGAATTATTTTGGAAGAGAAGATAGCAGAATTTACTGGAGAAGAAGAGATTTCTCTTGAAAATATTTACACTTGCCTCAGCAAAGGAAAATCTGATCTATTTTTAGATATGCATGCTTTGATAAGGAGATGAGAAATTAATACCTTTCCCACCTGAAAACCATTAGGAAGAGCTAATGTGGAAGCTAAACAGGAAAAAAGGTTTAATTGAATGTCATGCAGGAGTACATGAGAGTTTGAAGGACTCATTTTGGAGTATGTAGAAAATGTTAGAAATTATTCCAGTTTCCTGAAATTTTGGCAAAACAGGAGGTATTGATCCACTGGCTCTCTCTGCTAGGAGGCTGTGTCCTGGGAGAAGGCAGAAGACTGAATTGTTTATGGAAAATACAGTTTTTATGGAAATACAATTTTGACACCAGGCCTGGATTTCAAGGGCAGAAGACTTAGAGGGATGGAATTCCCGAGGGAAGAGGTTGGGATGAGCTTCTGGCACTTCCAGGGCTGCCATGCTGGGATGAGGGAGGCAGGTGGAGCTGCCTGGCCCTGTCCTCAGCCTGGAGACCTCAGTCTGGCAGTGCTCAGAAAAGGCCTTCAGGGAGAGAAGAATTTAACAATTCACTAGCTTGAAAGTTAATGTAATACTAAATTACTGGTGAAAAAATTCTGTGCTAAGTTTGGCACTGGATTTTTAAAGAAATTAAGAAAGCAAGTGCAGAACTTTTTTAAACCATGAATGGCCAATGTTCATCCTAGTGCAATTTGTGTAGTGGTTTGTAGTGCAATTCTTCATACAGAAGAATTTATTTGCAGGGAAAATTGTACTGAACACTTCTACTGCAAATGTACTGAATAGTACTTGCCATGCATAAAACAGAGGTAGGATTGCTTCATTTTCACAGAAAACAAGAAAACTCTACAGAGGGGATAAAGGGGACAAAAGAAACCAGTTAAAAGAAACCTTTAAGAAGGAGGTCCTTCCTTATTAAAATGCAAGGGAAATTTCAACCACTGGAAAGCACTGGAGCTGAAATGGATGTATGATGCTTCACAAAGAATTTTGGATGGATGGCACAAGAAACTGGAGCTCGCTGCTCTAAGTGAGCTGTCCCTACTGCTTGAAAGCCTTTCAGATGGGTAATTTGGGTGTCTGCAGTCCCTGGCAGACATGCTCTGGAGGGTTTTGTGGGTGGTTTCCCCCTCTTCATCCTCACCATTCTACCCGCGTGCTCTGGCCCTTCGGGATCAGTCTTTGTGCACCCCTGCAGGAATGGCTGAGAAGGACCTTCAGGGCAACACAACCGCCCAGCCCTGTTGGTTATTCAGACATTTCCCGAGCCTCGGAGGCTCTCCTGCCCCCGGAGGAGCTTTGCTGGCCGGGGGATGCCCTGCCTTTCCCGGGAGATGCTCCGGCGGGATGCGCCGGGCGGGGCCTGTCCTGGCCGCCGCCCCCGGCCCGGCGGCCGCTGCTGCGCTCCCGGCGGGGCGGGACCGGAGCGGGACCGGAGCGGGACCGGAGCGGGTAAGGAGCGGGTCTGCCCCGGGGCAGCCGGGCCAGAGCAGCGGGGCACGGGGGGACTCCGTCCGAAGTGGAATTTTCCCGGTTGTCGAGGCGCAGCCACGAAGTTCTGCCTTGGAACGGGCCGGCGGATGGGGCTCTTTTGTTTTGGTGTAAGAACATGATGCATTTAGCTAAAATATTTCGCTCCTTTTTCTTTTTAAATTTCTTTTTCCCCCCCATCCTCTCCTCTCCTCTCCTCTCCTCTCCACCCCTTCCTTTCCTCTTCTTTTCGCCCCCTTCCTTTCCTCTCCTTTTCGAGCAGAAGCGGTGAAATGGGGATGGTTTTGCTCCGGGGCTTTGAATCACGGCGGAAATCGGGAGGGTTTGGGTGCCGGGCATCCTAAGGGATCGCATTCCCATGACTTCTGCCTTGTTAGGGAGGAGACTGGGGCAAGCGAGGAGTGTTTTTCTTTAATACTCGAAGTGAATTGAATTCCTGGAGCCTTTCTCATGTTTTCTTAGTGGTTCGGCTGATGATGTTAAAGTATGCACGTAGGGTCACGGTGTTTGAAAACGTGGCTGCAGAAATCTCTCCCATAAATCCAGCCGGGCTTTGGGAAAACCCCCGGAGCGGATGCAGACCCCGGGGATGGAGTGTCAAGGATAGTGTTAATGAGAAAAAAAAAAAAAAAAAAAAAAAAAAGGGAAAAAAATCCCCCTTTCTGGCTTTCGGAAAGGG